TTTAATAAAAATCCGTTGGACGTGCGAAGGAAATACCATAACCTAATTAGTCACCCTGTAGTTTTCAATGCTCATGAATTTGCTGCTTCAAGAATTTCGAATTTCGATTAACGTTTCAATTTAGTTCACTATACATTAACAAAAATCTTAAGGTAATTGAGAAACCGCGAAACGCGTTGTTTTTAAACTAAAATAATTAGTAATTTTCTCGTCGATAAGAAAATAAGAAAAAAAATGTTCTATAGTGCTAAAAATTTATTAAGAACTCTGCACCCTATGCAGCATACCGACATACCGTTAATTTCCCCCGTCTCGAGTCACTGGACGCATTGTACCCTCGATCGGAAATACAAGTATATCACACGTGCATTTGTACCGTAAGTGGTTTTATCATACGCGACATGATAACTCCGACCGTGCTAATATACACGTACATTGTACACATGAAACTGCCATGAATGCTGATTGTGTACGAACGACGAGATTGTATTGCTCGCTCGGCGCAGAACTGGATCGCATGTCACAAAAAAAGGCCGTTTTTATGTGAAACATTTTACGAGCCTTCAACGGACCCATGATCTTTCTGACGAAAGAAACGTAGTCTCGAATTCTGAAGTTTCTTTCCCCCGAATACCTGACAAATAAGAATATTTGCTTCTACTCGGGATTATTTTCAATAGTCGACGAACGATGAAAATAAAATTAGGCAGAAAACGGTAAAAGAAAAGTTAGACATTGACTATATAGTTATTCGTAGTTAGGAAAACCTACGACGAAATTCTACGCTTGAGAATAGTTTGAGGTTATGTCATAAGTTGCGGGTTCTAGAATTCGACACGCTGCAACAGAGACTGATTCAGCGATATTTTTGTATCGAATCTTTACAAAATTGTGCCAGAGATAAATGGAAAGGCACACTTAAAGGCACAAAGGAACGTGCGTTCTTTATCGACCAACGCGATACAAGAATTCAAAAGAAACGATGTGAAAGATGGAAATCCCTGGACGTATCACTGCACTGCGGGTATATATAGAAGAAAGGAAGGGTTGCCGGATTCAGAGCGGAAGAATCATTGCGCACCGTAGAACGCCTTCTTCGATTGAGCTTCTGTGAAAAATTAATGACATTTGCACCTATCGTGCGCGACGAAATAACGTTAAAGGTAACCCTCAATTATGTCGAAAATTATCACGTGCTAAAAAGTCGCCAGATGTCGCATTACGTACTAAAAGGGCTGTGGGATACCGACAGATATCCCACACATCGGTTGGCGGATTAGAAAAGTAAATAATTCCGTTTGAACTTCTCCCAACGTCCCTTAACTCCACATAATTTATTCGCGATACATTTTATAGAAAAAAAAATAAAAATTTGTACGAAATAAAAAATTTTATCCGTACGAAAATAATCACATCGTAAGAGGTTAGGTTTTAAAGAAATAGCGGATGGTCAATATGTCTTGCAAAATGTGCAAGGGAGTTCAACCTATTTTTTCCCTTTGCCTTTGTCCCCTCGATTTCATGCAGAAAAACATGCGTGTTCAGAAGGGCACGCGCGAGTAAGATTACGTCGAGTGTCGATCGATGGGACATCGAACGAACGGTTTAAAAGCCACCACGAACTTGACATCAGACTCACGCAAGCTCCAGCTTATCCCACAGAACAATCGGTCAATGCTACTCCACCCAGACTAACGAACTTTAGTCAAAAACGCGAATCAACTATAAGAGTTTAGGTCTCGTATATAGTAGATACACGCTAGTCGATTATACAGTTTATAAAATTACGATTTTTATTTTTGACAATAAATTTTGAGAAATATTCACCATGACGATTACCATAACGAATAATTAAGATTTACTACCACAAAACACATTTTAAATAATCGATGAAAAATAAGGATAGACTACTACGTTGTTCGAATAATATTTGGTTACGCTAAAATGTCTGTTATACGTGTCACGAACTATGAAAATATCATAATAGTAGAGACAAGGTGACTCGAGTCGCCCTTGCTAGTACCACTGTTACTCCTATTATTATTATTACTATGATCGAGTTGCGCCACCCACCACGCACCGTATTGGTGCACCATGGTGATTACGTGTGCACGTTTTCACCTTTAGGGTACGCAACGATTCCGAGATGTATTCCTGTGTTCTATCAGATCGACAAAAACTCGCGGAAATGTAGTTACATACGGGAAACGAAACATCGCTTGGAAGGAATTGAACGGTTAGGAAACTTACCCTGCGTGAAGTGCTTAGCAACCATGATGTGCGTGGCTCACGGTTCAGAACATTATTCTCCACCCCCTCGAACGAGGCTGCTGCAGGGTAACGATATATCCGGCCGGAAAAACCTTCACTTTTCACGCACGCGGTAACGAGCGTCGACGAACCGTGTTCTCTGTCAAAATCACATGTTCGCGAACTGACTATCGTTCGTTCACGTACTGGGGTGTACATGCAATTGCGTTCTATGTGCGATTTATGACGCGATTAAACAGGCACAAGGGACGACGCACATGCTCGACAGTTGCCACCCGACTGATGCTAGGCCTCGGCTTCGTTTTTCAAATGAACTAACCCTGACTGGCCGCGCCACCATGCTGCGTCGCAAGCCTCCCCTCCTGTTCTGCTTTGACGATCGAACATAGCTCTCTGTATTATCGGCTGAATTCCGATCACTAGTTCGCAAGAACGCCACACGGCAGCACAAGCTACAACTTCACATTGACACGACTTTTTCTTTTCATGGAAATTATGGAAATAGAAAATTGTTGAGACAACGGTAAGATTTCGTTATTTATATGACAAGCAATTAAAATTTTGTTTTTCATAAATATTTCAATTACCGATTTAAAGGTTATAGATAGTCATATCGTTTCCTCTTCTCCTTTTCTTTTTTAGATTGGTGTAATGTTTATACACGAAGGATGAGTAATACAGAACCTAAAAATGTATCGATATTGGCGTTAAATGAATTGATATAGATGGTAGCAGTGAATTTTGATTAACTTACAGCTGTAGCCAAACATATATTAACGTTACGAGATAACAACCTAAGCTTCTAGAACGCCTTTAATGCTTAGCATAGCGATAAGAGATTTTTATGGGTTATCGTTGTGACGTATAAACCAACGGTAAAGTCTTCGACGTATCGTTCTGAATTTATCTGCGAACACTTTTTGTTACTTTTAAACGTCATCGAACTCTTCGAATAACAATGATACAAGGCCGCAAGAATGGACAAGTGACGATCGTCTGTTGCCATATTTGGGTCTACGGGAAGTATCTTGCCTAAACAGAGCCAAAGGATCGACACGTTTTTCTGTAGCACTCCTGTAGCACATAGATATGATTACGTCAGTTCAATCGGCTATGAATCATTATGCACCGAGCATATCATATAACTCGACTTTTCAAGGCTCCCGTTTTATGACCAGGCCGTGCTTCTTGATGTCAGGTGCCGGTTTTATAATTACCGCAGCAGAATTCGATTATGCTCTCTCACTGGTATGAATCTAATCTTGAAAACGACATTTAATACTTTCTACTATAAAATTCTTTCAAATGCTCGAGTTACACGTAAGAATACTATAAAAATTCCGTTATAACGTTTTTTTATTAAGAGAACAATTATTCCTATACGTGTATATGAATATACATGCACTGCATGAGCTAGGAATAATGTTTATTCATAGTAACACAGGTGTCGTTGCTCTTTCATTGATAACGAACGAAGTTGTGTGTTTCTACGCATTCACCGAAAACTAACAATGGTCCTATACGTAAATTTATTTAGAAGTACAACAGGACTCGAATTTAGAACTGAGTCGGTGAATGAGGAGAGAGGAGACTTTGTTTATACTGACAGTGGTCGCAGATAGGCGATTCTGCACGTGACAAATTACGCCTTGCGAGAGAGTTGTCGGACCCGTTTTCAGACAGGTAGTTAAATCGACACTGCCAGGTCAACACGCGATGAATACTCTCTCACTCCCTCGGAAATATAATACACGTCCCAAAGGTTTCCTCCTTTTACGAGTTGTGCCAAAGTTTCGAAAGGTCCGTTGACCTGCAGCGTACGTTTAACGTAAGCATTTCCGACGAACATAGCGCCGCCTATGACATATTTTCTATTTGCGATCGTGGGCAGGTGCCTACAGTATCCTACTCTTGTCCTGGATTTGTGCCCACCGATGATGCGTAATCTCCAGCTGGATAACAAAACGACATGAATTCTTCGCACAACCGCTGTTACGCGCTTAGAGAAACCGCAAAGCGTTTGATTTAGTTCTCTCGGTTTGCTGCGTGGGTGGCTCGCCTTCTCCGTTCACTCTCCACCACTGCCTACCATACCGATCTTACGGTGACGTCACATTCCGTAGAAGGGGAATATAAAACCTGTTTGACCGTCTCCCTTTCTTTTTCTGCAGTTTCGTAGTCGATTCACTTTATCCTTCTTCTCGTTATTCCATCCTCTTTTTCACTCCATCTTTTCTGTTCACGTTCCCGCTTTTTTCCTTTACTTGTGTTTCGCTGCGTGTTCTATCTGCCGTTACGAAGAACGAGCAAATGTGCGGATCACTTGAAATTAGGGATCCGCGCGTGTACGCGCATGCGCGGAAACGCAATTTTTTGCCTCGAACAGCGGCTTGCCAGCAGTCGTCCGTCTATCGAGAGCGTGTTGAGGATGATGTTGTTCGTCGTGCGTGAGGGTCGACGACGACGACGTTTCGTAGCACGGCAAGATCCGTCGACGATGTGCTGTCTACGTAGTGCGGCGAGAAACTTCGTGTTCGCGTAACGCGAGTTGAAAAACGGAACGAAAAAGTGATAAAGATACGGTACACCATCTCGCAACGAAGTCCATGCGTTTCATATAGCCATGGCTTCAGTGAAGGTAGCCGTGAGAGTTCGTCCCTTTAACAAAAGGTGCGTGCTATGCAACTAGTGATAACCTGTGACGAATTATTGACGTTTTGCTATACGGATACTTTTTATTCATTGCGGAGCTTGTTTCTCGATCGCAGCTTCTGCGATTGGTTGAGCAGCTTGTCAAGGCCTGCAACATAATTCGGATGACAATGTCCGCAAAAATGTTTTCGTTGCAATTCGCGAACCTTCGACCTTCGAAAGTAACTCGTTCCATGGGACGATCAATCATATGGTTTCGATCGATCCACGGTGCGAATGACGACTGAACGACAGGATTCTGCCACCTGCTGTCATTTGTTCCGTATCTAACGTTATTGTGAATCTTTCATATCACTTCTGACCTTTTTTTTATATATATATTTCACGATTCGTGATAGCCTTAGTGAATATTTGAAGTGTTCAGTTTTATGGTTAAGAGTGTGAATCTATCAAATTTATATTCCAGGGAGTTGGCGATGAATGCAAAGATGATCGTACAAATGGATGGCAAGAAGACACGGATATTTAACACTAAGGTATTTCGTAATATCTAACAGTTATGGCTAATGACATTATAGAAAAAAAAAAAATTATTACTTATTAAGGTTAAATGTTTTCCTTGTTCAAACATTGTACGTTATTCGCAATAAATGATTCCATCCAATCTTTGTGCAGTTCGTCCTTAATGATTGCGAACGAACTTTCTAAAAAGATTTCTAGACTGTAGAACGATTTTTTTTTTCGTCCTGTACTACCGTTGACCGCCACGCCGTTAAAACGCTCCGAGCTCGATTCGTGTCATAATTTCTGGTCGAACGAACCTCGGCTATTGACCCATTAACGTCACTGTGACCGCAACGTATATTGTTCGCGGACGTGCAGAATCTCCTTTTACCATCCTAAGACTATTTGTTGTTTAGTGTTACATCACTGATATCCATGCTTGTCAAGCGAAATCTCTGACCGAGATCTCGCGAGTAAGATAGCGAACGGTACGTCATCTGATCGGAGAAAGTGCGAAAATCGTTGCTGGACCAATCCCGGACGAGTCGCTTTCTGTCGCACGACACTAACCACAAAACTAACCAATCATATTGCGATTAATATACAGTTCAAATTGTTGCATTTTTGCAGAAGTAACGCGTAGACCGCAAAGCTAATTATATTGTCCTAATTAATACGGAATGAATTTGATTCACGTATGATACTAATAAAAGTTTCCATTTTATTTATTTGTCGTAATTCTTTGCACATTTTTCCTTCCATCGAATGAGTCAGCGTTAAGAATACACGAACTTGATGTTTAGATACGATTATTTTTGACCTTCTATGAGCAGTTTATATATTTCATGATCGAAGATTCGCCAGTCTCAGTTTTACATAATTCATGATTATTGTTTACCATTATATCATATAATTAATATGTTTTCATTCTTCATGATGGAAATCATGATGTACTCTATGGCGCGTGAACTATTGTTGATTTCATAACCAAAAAAAAGAAACGGTATTGAACAAATCGAATTATTTATTACGATAATTTCATTTATCATTCAATATCGGAACAAAGAACAATGAATTCGCGATACTGTGCGAAATCAATGACCTCAAATACAGAACACGATGACTCAAACATTTTAACATTTCTCCCAAGGACGAGCCACAAATTTCATGTGGTATTGAGCATGTCGATCGTGATTCTTGATCGATAACGATCTTCACCTTAACTTCTCTGCTTATTGCCGATTGCATGATGGGTAAACATAAGGAGTTTTACTTTTTAATTGCCTGCTGTTCGCTTTGTGTTGCATAATGTACGGAGTGGTTCTTGATAGTATACGATTAGTTATGTGGGATGCAGTCTAACGATTGTACGTGACATAACGGCTTATTATTTGCCGACCACTTGTGGGTGATGCGCTTCTTTGACATCAGTCATCATATCGGCTCTTGACCTTTCACAATTTATCAAACTTTTCTTTTTTAATAATCAATCAATTCGACGTGGTATTAATTTTACTTGACTATTTGTGTAGAAAAATTTTGTTAATGATCCATATAAATCAATTGATAAAATATTTTATTTATTATATATAAACATTAGATAAGAATTGGAGGTTTAGGCAAACTGCATCACGTACCCTCTTGATACTGTCACCAGTCGGTCAGTCACTCTAGAGTACTCAAAGATAGATATACCTTATAATAATAAAATAATTTAAAAGAGAATATATATATCTTATATATTCTCTTTAAATGTTATTTTACAATTACAATTATACTATAATCCCAATAGGAACAATTATTTTTTTTTTTACATTGTTTAGTAGTATTGACTGAAAAATTATACTAACGATATAAATTTTATTTTCAGACACCTGGTAGTTCCAGAGAAATCGACAGGGAGAAATACAAAGACTTCACGTTTGATCACTCTTATTGGTCCTACGACACAAACGACGAGAACTATGCGTCCCAGGAAGAGGTGTATATTAATTCACTTTTTCCGAGCTATAAAGCTATTAATTCGAAATTAATAATGTACTACTATTGGATAGCATAGAAGAGATAAAGACTATCGTATACTTGAAAATCACACCTTACTTGAATATCCGATATCTTTATTACTATCAATAGCATTTTAAATTATTTGCTGTTTCAATGTTAAAAATCACATTTCATCTAATGACAGAATATCGTGTTGCTGTATTTCTAATTTGTTTGAAATAAAAGATATACAGTATCGCGATAAACTGAGTCACAAAATCGCATTGAGCAATGTTCTAACAATGAGCCACGATCAGAATTAGAATAGAAGACCGACAACCGTGTACCAGTATAGTAACCATTGTCGTAAAAACAGATCCTATCTGAATTTTTTGTATTTTATTTTTTTCAATTTCAGATATCGTATCCAAATAATTTTTTAATTTTTAAGAAAACGATAAGCCCAATTTAATCCTTATCGTGTACTTACAAATAATTACATATCACGTAAGATATGAAATATCTTAGTTTTATCAGTTGTAAAATTAAACGCGATAAGTGTAATTACCGAATAATTATTAGTAGTCTCGATTCGTTTAATTACTTGTTAAAATTATTTCAAGAGAATTTGATAGCAAAACTGTTTCGTCAATCGGTACTACCAGATGTACATGTAGGATGTATTAGATATACACGTAAAACGTGGGGTTAAAAATAAATTGCTGATACCTCTTTTTTTTTTTTAGGTTTTCTATGATCTTGGTACGGACGTAATAGAAAGTGCCTTTGAGGGCTACAATGCCTGCGTCTTTGCCTACGGCCAGACAGGATCTGGCAAGACCTTCACTATGATGGGCACACCGGTAATATTCTAATTGTTCCTCCTTCTTTTGTTTCTCTAAAAAAGAATGACGAAAATTAAATCCCATTACTCATTTGATATCCAAATAATTCTGGAATACTTACCTGTACATGAAGTATTCGATTGTTTTGAATATTGAATCTCATAACGTTCTTCATCCAATTTCATCTGCAGAGGAAAGATTATAATGACACAATTAGCATATTATTAACATATTAATACGCTCTGATGCATTCTGATCAGTTGATCATAATTTGTTTTTACATCGGTACAGTAATCTATTACGTTACTTTGAAAATATTTGCTTGCACTTTCACTGGTTGTCAGATTTCTACGAATTTTTCCTCATACATATGCACCTAGAAAATAATACAATCTTCAGCTTCTAACCATTTTGTTGTATTCGGTGTTAGGAGGCTCAGGGATTGATACCACGGATTTGTAAGACACTGTTCGCCAGAATGGCAGCTGGAAAAGAGAGCGGTGCATCGTACAGAACTGAGGTATCTTTCTTGGAAATACATAATGAGAGAGTGAAGGACTTACTGCGACTGGACCAGTCACAGTCTCATTCTCTCAGAGTTCGAGAGCATCCGAAGAGAGGGCCTTATGTTCAAGACTTGTCTAGCCATCTCGTGTATGATTATTCAGACATTCAGGTAAATGAACCCGACCTCCACTTCCTGCTCGTTCCACTACAATAATTTTAAGAGTGATAGTTTTTAAACAAAGAGTTGCCCCCCTCTCCCCCCCCCGCTCGTAGGAATGCATGGTGAGAGGTAATACGCACAGAACTACAGCAAGCACAAATATGAACGATGTGAGCAGTAGGAGTCACGCGATTTTTACGATCACGTTCGTGCAAGCTGGACTATCTGAGGGTAATATGCCGTCGGAGACCGTTTCCAAGGTGCATCTTGTCGACTTGGCTGGAAGGTAGTCAAGACTATCTTGAGGATAATCTTTTGTTTTAATCATCTGAAAAAAAATACGCAGAAAGATGTGAGCAAAAAGTTTGTGGAAGGAAAATTAAAAAATAGAAAGAAAAAACCAAATTGGAAATCAGCTCTACTTATTGAATGTCGTTTTCTTTTAATTTTATGCTATAATAAAATAATGAATATTTGATTAAGAAAGGCCTCATAAATTATTAAATAAATGAATAGGTTTGATATAATATACCTGAACTCTTTGCACACATTTTCGAAAAGAAAGTTACATAGATATAGTTGGAATATAAATTTATATTTACGTCTGTTTCCTTGTGTCCGTTTAGCGAACGTGCAAACGCAACGGGTGCAACGGGCCAGCGACTAAAAGAGGGTGCGCACATTAATAAGTCATTGGTGACTTTAGGTTCTGTGATATCAGCGCTTGCGGAATTGAGTTCTGCAGGCGATGCATTTTCTTCCTCTAAGCGTAACGTCTTCATACCTTATCGAGACAGTGTGCTGACGTGGTTGCTAAAGGATTCGCTTGGAGGTAACTCTAAGACGATTATGATAGCTGCTATTAGTCCAGCTGATTGTAATTACGGTGAGACTCTCAGTACGCTCAGGTATGCTAACCGAGCGAAAAACATCATTAATAAGCCAACCATCAACGAAGATCCAAATGTGAAATTGATCAGGGAACTCAGGGAAGAAATACAAAAATTAAAGTCACTTATTGGAAAAGATATGGCAAGTATTAAAAAACATATACTTTCTCTTTTAGTAATTAAGGCAGAATTATGTTACAAGATGAAATTTTACCTGTTTATCGCAGAGCGTTGAAAGACCACCGCAAGTATTGTTAGCACAGATTCATGAGAAACAAGAGCAGGAGAAAGTGTTAACGGAAGAATGGACGGAAAAGTGGCGAGAAACGCAACAGATTCTCCAAGAGCAGAAAGCATTAGGCCTCCGAAAGAGCGGCGTTGGTGTAGTCTTGGACTCGGAAATGCCGCATTTAGTAGGAATCGATGATGACCTTCTTAGCACTGGTGTTACACTTTACCATCTGAAAGAGGGAAGAACATTAGTGGGAACGGAAGAAGCACCAACTACGCAGGTAATCGTCCAGTTCATAATTTCCATTGCAAGTCAAAATTTTCCAATTTCAGTATGAACCGTGATCTGAAATACTTATTAAACAGGATATTGTATTGACTGGTGCGGATGTCGAACCAGAACACTGTGTGGTAGAGCTAGATAACGGTGTGGCTACCCTTCATCCCCTTTCTCCCCATTGCTGGATCAACACCGCTCAAGTAGATAAGCCGACACGATTGTCGCAAGGCTGTATTATCCTTCTTGGCCGAAACAATATGTTTCGATATAATGATCCAGCTGAAGCGGCAAAACTGAGAAAGGAAGGTGGAACGGGTAACGGTAACTTACAATCCACGGTCGTCAATCTTTCAAGATTGTCTCTCTTGAGTTGGAGTGTCTCGGATTTGCATGCTTCGTCCTCTAGCGATAACCTTCTAAATTCGAGTGAAGATCTCCGAGCACTCGAAGAACTGGAACAGCAGAAGGCTGCCCTTATCAAGGAAAAAGAAGATTTCAAGGTTTGTGTATTGATTAATTGGTGTTATAAAATAGTATTTCCTATTTCAATCAAACTCAGAACATTTTAAAATATTATTATTATAGCATGAAATTAAGGAAATCTATATGTTATAACAGAGCACCATCTTTCTATAGAAATGTTTAAATTAGTGTTAGAAAAGTATAAGAAACGACAAGCTATTTCTATTAATTTGCATAGAGGGAACAGGAAGAACGCGAAGAAAGATGGGCTGCAAGAAGAGAGGCCCTGGAAGGAGCGCAGCGCGAGTTGGAACGTGAATGGGGAGCCCAATGGAAAGAGTATCTAGGCAACGTGAATTACGTACACGACGTCACCTCCTGGAGCAAGAACGACGGGACGAAATGACGCAAGTAAGTGACTCGGATGCGCCGTCTCCAGACTTGAACGTAATCTCGATCAAGTATCAATTCTACCTCGTCCTTATTGCTCTCGGTGTCCTTATTTGCTTGTCTGGCAACATCATCATCTACTCGCACGTTTGCCCGTTAGACATGTGACCCCAGAAGACGTGTGCAAAACCATCAGAGAACACGCATTCGTTAATTCACGTTCATGTTCTCCGTCAGATGTTCACAGGTGTACTTGAACAACTAAGGTGTTCAAGTATGAAAGGAAAGAGCTATATCATCAGCCTTGATGATGTTTACATTTTTTCACTTTAGTTTACGATAGATTTAGTAACTGAGTAAAAAAAAGCTTATGGTGCTCCAAAGCAAACGACATTGTATATCAGGGTTTTCGCCTGAATGTAATATAATGTAACTAATGTACAATTCCATTGTTAACGAGACAATATTTGTCCGATATAATTGAATCGTTTTTAATGTATAAAACAAAGGTTTCATTTTTTTTATATTATATTTGCTCGTCTTTATACAGGTTCTATTACGGGCTTTTATTACAAAGTGCGCCTAATTTCACGCAGACGATAGTCGGCTGTAGAAAGTTTAACGCTTATCTTTTTCCTAGCGAATTAGATAGAAAAGCTTAATAACGATAAGTTGCCTGAATACAATAAAAGTGCCAGTGTTGACGAGATATTGCCGGACAAATATGGCATTCCGTGGAATGTTATACGTTAAGTACCTTGTAGACGATTGTTACAGTGAACAGAGTAAAAAGAAACGTTATGTACATATCTGGGCTTGTTTTTTTGTAGAAACGACTATATATATATACATATATATATGGGTTTGTTATGCGAGAAAGAACTGTTGTTATTATATATATATATTATATATAT